ACTTTACTGCTGTCACACCCCTTTACAGTCAGCAGTACGACTTCGCCCTCAGACCTTGGGTAGCTGCTTTTAGTCTCATCGTTCTCCAATTGAACCAGCCTGGCATGGTAGAACGTGCAGGAACATATGTTCCAGACACTATAGCTCGGTTGGGTCATGCCGATAGTCAAGCCCGACCATCACGTCAAGGTAGCAGGTACGGTCGGGAGAGGGAACTACAATGGGCGTAATCTAGTCCTATGTGCCCACTAAAGACAATAATAAAAATAAAGAAGATAATAAAGATCAATTCTGTGAAAGGCTGCAGTCAGTCGTAGAAAAATGCTCATAAAAAGGCTTGATCATTTTAACAGGAGACCTAAACATCAAGGTTGGAATGGACAATACTGGATATGAAGACTGGACGACATGTACTCAGAGATAGGAACGAAAACGGTGAGAGATTCGTAAATCTATGTGCCTTCAATAAAAGGGTTGTACGTGGCACCATAGTCTCGCATAAAGCTACATAAGTTTCATCAGATTACACTATCAAAAACCTAATCGATTACATCTTCGTAAGTAAGGAGTTCAGAAGGACCTTGGAGGACGTGAGAGCCAAGAGAGGAGCTGACATAGCTTCAGATCACCACCTGGTGGTAGCCAAGATGAAAGTGAAACTAAATAGACACTGGACAAACAACGTTACAAAAGTTTAGTACAGCCTTCCTTTGAGATACTGACAAACTCAACGAATTCAAAATAGCTCTCAGCAATGATAATCATAATATTTGTTGTGATTATTATTGCTCTCAAGTAACAGTGTGTTACATGCAGCATGCCAGTTTACAGGCAAGATCAAATTGTTACAAATGACACCTCATTTACCGTAATAATGTTGTTTTTCTGATATGGCAAGTTTACGCCGTTCCACAGACATGATCAAGCCCTTTATGATCTATTCCATGAATTTGAAATTGCCATGGAGAACAGAATTCTTACGACGGCCTACACTGCGAAATCGCACATGGAGGACAGCTCATAGTCTCATTCAAAGTGAAAACCGGTGTCAGACAAGGTTGCTTAGTCTCTCACCCTTTCTATTTCTTCTGGTGATTGACTAGATTATGAAGACCTCGATATTTCAGGACAAGCAAACGATACGGTAGACTGCCCGGATGCAGCTATATGATTTGGAGTTCGCAGATCACCCAGGTGTACTATAGAGTCCAAAATAACAGATATATCTGGTAGCTCATTTAGCTCATCTGAATTACAGGCAGTGTGAGAATTCAGATATGAAGGAAATAAGTGATTAGACCGACGTCACGGTAGCATTTCAAAGTATCCCAGATAGTGAAAAGGGTATTGGAGAAATACTTCAGTTGTATCTACTGCCCTAGCAACATCTACCAGGCTATCCTGCTATCCTTGGTCAGTGATTATCAACTCACCTAACGGAAGGGAGCTTTGTAAGGAAATCGAACCTCTTAAGTTCCGTAAGTACGCAGATCCAAACAACTTGCACTGGTTTGTGGCGTGAAGCGCAACTTTATTTCACCAACGGTTCATCATGGCTTCATGATTAGGGTCCTACAGATAGTGTCGCTCATCGGCTTGAGATGTTGTCAGGAGTGGTGCTCAACGAAGATAACGAATCTGCCTTACCTTTGTCCCACATTCTTCACGGAAATGAATTTAGTTTCCGAAACAAATGTAGTTTTTTCTTGTATTTAAAACTGAACAACATCTCAGAAGACGTTCACGAAATAGACATTTCTCTCAGAGGATTCATTGTAACCTCGAAGAGCCAGAGAAACCAACAGAATCGGGCGAGAATGATACTCTTCCAAGAGATTTTACGCCCAATGTTAATGCATATCATTGAGATAATGAACTGTCATTATTAGATTGCCACTGAAGGAGGATTGGATAACTTGGCATGGGACTCCTGACCGATGCTCATCCACAACCCCACAAGCAGGAATCGAGCCTAGGATCTCCTGTTTTGTACTCAAACGTTTAACCTCAATCTTGCCGAAAGGCCTATAGGTTACTGGAAGCCACGACTACCGTGAGATACACGGATGTCCAGTATATCAGTCTGTGGAAGCTTATGTTTTTGTGTAATAATTCCTGACATACATACTCTTCAAACTCAGCCATGACTGTAATTTCAGGGAAACGGGAATTATCCCAGGTTAGCTATTATGTAGAATAAAGGTGTCACGACGCCAGAGGTGAAGAATTCTGACTGAACGAAATGAAAAATAACAATCGTTTTAGTCAGTGAAGTACATGGGTCTTTGAAATTCCAGAATGAGTGGTCTACCGTGACTTGTTAATGTTGTAGTGATCGAAGTTTTAGTATCTGGGAAATTGTGAGATCATCCTATACTGTATAGCATGCACCAAACAAAGCACACTTGACAGCGAAGCTTTGGAAGATGTGGAGGCTTTTACATGCCTTTTCAGCATGACTGATATATTAGGTGGATCTGATGCCGATGTGAAGACACGAATTAGCTGAAGATGTGCAGCATTTCTACAGTTGAAGAACGTCTGGGTCTTAAAATAATTCGATTAACACCAAAGTTAGGATTTTCAGTACGAACGTCTAAACAATTCTGTTGTATGGAGCGGACGTTTGAGGAACCACGAAAGCCACCGTACGAAAGATACAGGTATAAAGCTTTTTCTACGCAAGATATTCCGAATCCGTTGTCTAGACACCATTAGTAACAACCTACTATGGGAGAGAAGAAACCAGCTTTCTGCTGCTGAAGAAATCAGAAAGAAGCGCTGTAGGTCAATCGGACACACTACGGAAATCGCTTAACTACATAAGGAAGCAAGCTATTACTTGAGATCCACAAGGTCAAAGGAAAAGAAGAAGACCAAAGAACACATCGCGCCGAGTTTTGGAGACGGACGTGAAGAGAATGAATAGCAATTGGAAAGAACTGACAAGGAAGGCTCAGGACAGAGTTGATTGAACAGTGCTAATCGGCTACCTATGTTCCATTAATGGTAACCAGCTTAAGTGTGTATTTTAGTGGACATATTCGCTCGAAGCGTGTATATATCGCGAAATAAAGAACCCTTTATTGTCTTCATGATATGGGGATTTATTTCATAACACTGAAATTTCGGTAGTAAATGAGATTTCTGCATTCCTTACTATAATTTTTAAAATGATGCAACTTTGTACCACCTATTTTGATCATTAGTTAAAATGAGCGGACAACTGATTGATGCCTATGTCTCCATCATTCTAGGAATAATTTCAATTAATGATCTAACGAATGTTGAGCGCAATATCTGTTGATTTAATTGCGCTATTATTATGTCCGGCAGCTACGTATCGCATAAACTGATCCGTTTATTGCATTGTAGATCTTATTTTAGTAACTGTCACTTCCATGTCTCCTTAATCCTAGAATTTATATTAGCCAAGAATGATGGTTTTATAAGTTATGGAGAGTGATCATTTTTATCGCTTTTGGGGGACCTTAATCCCTGAAATAGCATGATAAGGCTTCTTCCCTGCAATAGGTCACTGACGATATGTATTTCAAGCACTGCTAAGGAAAGCTCCTGTATTTTTCCCGTCAATTTCACTTGATACACATTGTCGTGCTAGTCAAAGATGTGAATCAGTAAATTTTGGTGTCTACAGAAGTTGGTTATTCATATATATGGTCATTAGAGACTAGTTGATCACAGGTTACTTATCTGAAAAACTTTGACATATTTGGTCGCACATCACAATCATCTGTAAATTGGCACTATAATCTCTTAAAACTTTTTAAAGATTTATTTACATTTCTATTTATTTATCCTTTCGAAACAGTTAAAGCATTTCTTTCAAAGACAGTGCATAATGCTACTGTAGACTGGGGATCTATCTACAGAATTCCATGCATTTTTGGGGGGACTGGTCCGAGAAATGATACGATGATTCTCAATAATCGGGTAAATCATTAAATGTGAATAGCATTTTCACCTACCTTTATCTTGCGTACATACATCATATCAAAGATTGTCTATCTTCAATATACTTCACTATTTTATTAATAAACATCCAAGCTAATTGTTTACATTTTCCAGGTAGCTGATTTCTACCAACTTTTAATCTTTTTTTTGTCGACTTAATATCTCATTACTACTACTATGTAGGAGCAAGAAATATCTATTTCTATCAAACAAACTACGATACTGTGCAATAGATTTTTCGATTATTTCCATAGTCTTGTCTGATACTCATGGATATTTGCAGTTGTAAACAAAATATACTGCTTTCGAAATAGGTATATATATATATATGAATTCATTGCTCAAAGAGTCTTAATTTCACTAGTTTTTCAAGATAGACTTTTAGCAAAAGCGTAGAGATTTTCGCATTGAGAAGTGTTTCATTGTAGTTTTATTATGTTTTATTTCTGCAGTTTCCTAATTTGAAAATAAATAGTACAGAAAAGACATATACATAAGCTGTTAATGTTTTCTGACCTATTTCGAATTACTTTCTTTTTTATGCTTTACTTAATTCATAATGAAAAGTCTATCTGAAAATTGAGATATATTTATTTGTGGAAATTATATTTGAACTAATCTCAACGGTTAAAATTTAAGTAATTTCATCGTTTGTATCAGTCAATCAGTCAGTCAACAACGTATATCAGTTCAAGCTGCCATACCACATTAGCACAGAGATGCAATTGTCACTTCAAATCCTGCAGTAGTAGAGGTAATAGAAGTATTGATGAAGTAGAATCTGGTGAAATAAACTTGAAAAGAGGAAAGTAATGAGGAACTCTGAAAGTTAGGATTTGAGTGAAAACGAAGAATAAATGCACCAGCGCCATTGCAAACGGTTTTGAGCCATGTCATTCAGGGTCTCTAACCATCGATTACTATCATCTCGCGGACCCCAATCAGGTAGTCGACAATAACCGACATGACTTAGTCCACTAGTCAGTGACTTCATGGATTTGTGTCATATTTTGGTTTGGCCACCCCTAGCTTTCTTCCAACCTATTCCTACATCGCAAAGAATAGCTTGACGAGGTAGTTGGCGGTTAGACATACGCAACAGATGTCCCAACGTTTGTATAGTTTTCCATTTCAACCCATTTATCATATACTTTTTGAAATAATAATGTAATGATCTTGTTTAAATAAGTTTCCCTCTCATGATTACTCTTTTTTTATGACTTTAAGACTGTGGTCGAAAAAGAGCATAACATTACTGAAGATTCAATTGTCGAGTGTATAGTTCAGAATTCTTTGGGTACAGTGCATGATTTCGCCTATCTATCAGTTCGTCCTGGTTAGTTTACTATTGGTTTTTTTTTACTGAAAAGAAAGTGTTTAATATTCAAATTGAATGTTTGGGATGAATCTCGTTTGACTTTTTTCTGTTCATTTTCCTTCTTCTTGGTTTTTTTTCTTTTATTTGAACTAAGTACTATTGATATTGTTTCAGATTCAGAGATTTTTTTATTTATTTTCTTAAAAATTTTAGATTCTAAAGCTTGGGGAATTAAACATGGAGTTTCAGATCGGTTAGTTTTGGTTGCTTCTGTTTTACTATTATATGATTTATTTTTTCAGAGTTCAAGGAAAACTTGACTATCATTCTGTAACTTGTTTATTATCGTAATAACTACATCAATTTTGTAGATTGTTCAACAACACTAAAGCATTTGTTTCGACAAATTCTTGTGGCTTAAAATGTTCGTATTTAGATTAACTTTTTTTGAAATAAAAAATTGAGTTGTTGTTGTGCTGGTTGGATACCCACCATTAATGTTGTAGCGTTATGAGGAAGTTATTGGAACGACTAACCTCAACCACCAATCTACATTTCCAAATAATGAGCGTTATGACGGGCCGCTTTGACTAGTAGATGAATTTCAACTTGATCAATATAATTGGATTAACACGAAGAAGGTCTTGACATACATGAAATTGGTTCCTACTGATTGACTAATTAATTGTAAAAGCAATGTACTTTCTATCTCTCATGTGTAATCAATGTTACATTTTCAAATTAACGTTCCAACTAGAATTACTCTATCTCAAATATTTGATTAATAATCGACGTTTACGTTTATTTAAAGATGCAAAAGAAAAATTTATCTGTAGCTAAAACTACTTTTTTTATAGTTTTTTTTAATATCTCATCAACACTAAACAGTTACAGGATAATTAATGTCTAAGTACATTTTTTTGCTTGAAAAGCTCATATTGTAAAGTTATTAAATATTCCTCGAATCATTCTATGTAGAAATGTACTTAAAGTGAACAGACCATCTTTTCAATGTTTCTATTACTTTTGAGATAGATAAATATATGAAAGAATAGCGGGTAATTCTGTAGCTATATGATTAGACATTTCAAATATCAAAGAACATGATGTAATGATTGAGTGGTTACAGAAAAATCAGAGAATCACAATATTAACTTACGCCGTCTTGACGTGTTGAACTCCGCCAGTAGAACCTTCGGGGCTACTGCCGGTCCCAAGCCCGGATAAAGGAGGAGGGTTGGGCATGGAGTTGGAGACCCCATCCCAACTAAAACTAACTTGCCAAAAAAAGCTAACCAGAAAAAGTAATCCAAACCATTTTAATACTGCTCTGGGAGTTGGAAGAAGAATTATGACATCGCGTGATGAAAGCCGAGTTCCTTCGATGCCTCTTCTGACAACCAGAGCAACCATTCTTTTAGGTACATGGAACGTTTGTACATTGTGGGAGACTGGAAGACTATTTCAAGTTGCGGCAGAAATGAAAAGATACAACCTCGAGGTGCTCAGCATCAGTGGAACGCATTGGACACAGATAGGACAACTGAGACTAGCTTCAGGGGAACTGCTGTTATACTCTGGTCATGAAGAGGAAAACGCTTCACATACACAAGGAGTTGCACTGATGCTGTCCAAACATGCACAGAAGGCACTAATAGGATGGGAATCTCATGGACCCAGGATCATCAAATCATCCTTCAAAACAAAGAAAGAGGACATTACAATGAACGTCATCCAATGTTATGCACCTACCAACGACTACAATGACGACGTTAAAGATCAATTCTACGAAAGGCTGCAGTCAATCGTCAACAGATGCTCACCAAAGGATTTGACGATTCTTATGGGAGACCTGAATGCCAAGGTTGGAATGGACAACACTGGATATGAAGACATCATGGGACGACATGGACTGGGAGAAAGGAACGAAAACGGTGAGAGATTTGCAAACCTATGTGCCTTCAACAAACCGGTCATCGGTCGCACAATATTCCCGCACAAACACACACACACAAAGCCACATGGATTTCACTGGACCACACTACTCAAAACCAAATTGACCATATCTGTATCAACTATGGAGGATGTGAGAACCAAGATAGGAGCTGATATAGCCTCAGATCACCACTTGCTGGTAGCCAAAATGAAACTGAAACTCAAGAAACCCTGGATAACGGGGCAGACAACATCACACCAGTTTAATACAGCCTTTCTTCGGGATACCGTAAAACTCAACGAATTCAAGATAGCCCTCACCAATAGGTTTCAGGCCTTTCAGGATCTACTCAATGGAGAGGAAGCAACCTTGGAGAACAATTGGAAAGGGATCAATGAGGTAATCACTTCAACATGTCACGAAGATCTGGGTCACAAGGAGTACCATCAAAAGGATTGTATGTCTGTTGGTACTCTTGAAAAAATTGAAGGAAAAAGAAAGCAGCAATCAATGTCAGCCGAACAAGAACAGAGAAAGTTACTGCACAAGATGCACACACAGAAGCAAACAGGGAAGTGGAGAAGAGCATCAGAGCTGACAAACGAAAATATGTGGAAGATCTAGCAATGACGGCGGAAAAGGCTGCAACGGACGGAAACTTGAGACAATTGTACGAAACAACAAAGAATCTCACCGACAACTATCGTAAACCAGAACGACCAGTGAAAATCAAGGAAGGGAAAGTAATCAGCAACACTGAAGAACAGAGAAATAGGTGTGTAGAGCAGTTTAAGGAACTATTGAATCGACCAGCTCCACTGAACACACAACATCGACGCAGCATCCACGGACCTCGCAATTATTATTGGTGCACCAACAATTGAACAGATCAGCATGGTCATCAGACAAATCAAGAGTGGCAAATCAGCAGGACCAGACAACATTCCAGCAGAGGCAATGAAAGCATATGTAGAAGCAACTGCGAAAATATTTCACATCCTCTTCAAGAAGATTGGGGATGAGGAACAAGTACCATCAGACTAGAAAGAAGGATACCTCATCAAAGTACCAAAGAAAGGCGATCTCAGTAAGTGTGAGAACTACAGAGGCATCACTCTTCTTTCAATAACAGGCAAAGTCTTTAACAGGTTATTGTTAAACAGAATGAAGCACTTCATATACGTCCAACTTCGAGATCAACAGGCCGGATTTCGTAAGAATCGACCGTGTACTGACCAAATTGCTACATTACGGATCATTGTGGAACAGTCAACTGAATGGAACTCACCACTCTACATCAACTCCGTCGACTACGAGAAAGCATTCGATAGCGTGGACAGGAAAACACTGTGGAAGCTTCTTCGACACTATGGTGTGCCTGAGAATATAGTTAACATCATACGGAATTCTTATGATGGATTCAACTGCAAACTCGTACACGAAGGACAGCTAACAGACTAGTCTGAGGTGAAGACCGGTGTCAGGCAAGGTTGCTTACTCTCACCCTTTCTCTTTCTCCTGGTGATCGACTGGATTATGAAAACGTCAACATCTGGAGGGAAGCACGGTATAAACTGGACAGTTAGGACGCGGCTGGACGATCTGGACTTCGCAGATGACTTGGCTCTTCTATCTCACACGCAACAACAAATGCAAGAGAAGACGACCAGTGTAGCAGCAGCCTCCACATCAATAGGTCTCAACATACATAAAGGAAAAAGCAAAATTCTCCGATACAACACAACATGCACCAACCAAATCACTCTTGATGGAGATGCTTTGGAGGACGTTAACACCTTTACATATCTGGACAGCATCATCGACGAGAAAGGTGGATCCGATGCAGATGTGAGGGCACGGATTGGCAAAGCAAGGGCTGCATTTCTACAGTTGAAAAATATCTGGAACTCCAAACGACTTTCAACCAACACCAAAATCAGAATTTTCAATACAAATGTCAAGACAGTTCTAATGTATGGAGCGGAAACTTGGAGAACTACGAAAGGCATCATCCAGAATATACAAGTATTAATGAACAGTCGTCTACACAAAATACTTCAGATTCGTTGGCCAGACACCATCAGCAACAACGTATTGTGGAAGAGAACAAACCAGATTGCAGTGGAGGAGGGAATCAGGAAGAAGCGGTGGAAGTGTTGTTATTTTGTACTTTTTAAACAATAACAAATAATTGTTATTATGTTCAGTGCATTTTTAATTTATTTTGCAATAGATGTTAAGTTGACGAATATGTCTTGTAAGCTTTGATGCACAAATTATTTTAATTCTCTTATTCTTCTGTAACTTCTTCATAATTGCACAACTGTATTTTGATGTTTGAAATGATGGATCACTTTACCACATAATCTCTATTCTTACATCGACTTATAAATTTATTTAACATGTTTAATTAAAGATGTACAACAGGTTAGGCAAATGATTTCGTCGAAAAATAAAGTTTCTTTTCTGAATTCTCTTTAATTTTGTTGAATAAATGAGTAAATTGTAGTTGCAGTTTAACCCAGAAGCTGATCTTATCTAGACCGCCATTGGAAACCTGAAAGCCATTTCATCCACGTATGCGACTCATCAACAGTGCCCATCCACGACCCTGCACCAAGGAAACGAACCCCGGGCATTCAGTACTGCAGATGCTTAATCTTTAGACTACTGATTTGAAATCCAACAGTGTTAATGTCTAACTTCAAGCAATCCAAGATAGTAACTAGCAGTGAATAGCTTCACAAAATGATTTGCCGTTTCCTCTGACATCCACTCACTGTTTTCCAACTTACCCCCTTATTAACCAACCTGTCACATTTATGTCGGCAGTTGTTTACTGAGCCCGTGTGACTCATCCTATCCACTTCAATCGATTAAAATTCAAAAATTGTATCAGCCAACATGTCACTCTTATCTATTACATTAAACTTAACATCAACCCTCCCCCCTTGTAGATATGAAAATCCTTATATAGTATAGGTGCTTAGTAATCTGCCTTTTTTATTTACTAATATAAGTAGTTGCTTCAGTTTCATGAAAACATCATTTCTTACTGGTTTGTCTGAATGATATATCACATCCAAATAAACGAAATTCCATATCTTGTTTGGTCTATTGTTTGCGATATGCTTATAATATGATGAAATTAATAGTAACATCAGTCGCAAATGTTTTAGTACTTTTGAAGGTCAAATTACATAAAACGAAATTTTTTTATTTCGGTCACGTTATGCAGTCTTGCGCTTGTTTTTAGCATTATTATCACAATCTAAAATCAGTCTGAGTAGGGTTCACATAAGGTGTGCATGGAAAATTTTCACTCAAAACAGTTCATAAACTTGAACTCATCAAACGAGTATTTTTCGGTTCAAGCTATGTCTGTTGCCCTTTGTCATAAGTCTACCCCTAACAAATTTATTTACATTCCATACAAAAATGTTTACAACTAGACTGTACAGTATAAGTCTCAAAATAATTGTGAACATGTTAAAGTAGTAAGAGCTGCTTTTTCATGAGCGGTGTTGAACACATTTTATCCGTTAAATTAAAGTATATTCAGTAGATGTCATTATTAAAAGTCACTAAATTAGTTTTCCTCTGCCAACAATCTCATTATTTCGACTACTTTGACTATTCACTATCGTGCTGTGTTAATTTGAATTGTAGTAATTCAGACTGAAGAATGTTAATTTCTAATTGTCTAACTTTGATTAGATCTAATCTAGGGCAGATTTCTTCATAAGATAATTTTAATACTAGCATATGTACTTCGCTAATGGTATCTGTTAAGCGAATTACATTATCTATTTTGTTTTGCATCAAGGTTTTAATATAGTAAGCGGAGGGTATTGCGTAAATAGTTGAGCATTGATTATAATGATCAATAATTCCAAGAAAGTGGCATATTATTGAAATGAATTGGATTTTTTTTACTAAATAGACTCAGTTTGTTTTTTACACAATTCGGTGCTTTTTTAAATGTGATGACACGTTATAATATCAAAAGCTGAAAATCTACTTTCTAAAATTTGATTAACTACGAAATAATCAATAAGTTTCATTACTTATTAATCAACCTTATCTAAACTACTAATGACCGCAATCTCGGTGTTTGTTGTTATGATATTACAATTCATTAATGACGTATTGACATGACTGGAAATAATGAACAAACTAATAATGGAGCTTTGGAGTCAATTGATGTTTTATCAGGAAATGCCCCCACAGGTCGGCTTACTGAATATATCAAGAAATTAACACTTATTTATGTACAAAATAATTCAATTAAGATATCATGACTTGAAGAAGATTATCAGTCAACGATGGAAATGCATTCTGTAAATAATTATTGCATTTAGTTGAGATAAATATATTTCTCAATGAACAATTCCAAATATTTGTTTACATGTTTTGATTTTCCTTGTAGATATTCTTATTGTCAGTCATATTCGACAATTTTACCGAAATCCTCAGTGTGTTATTCATTCATAGAAAATATTGCCAATGAATATAAAGAACCTTATTTAATTTCTCGATCTCGTTTATATTCTAACGAAATTAGCGATGAAGCTATTAGAAATCTTTTTACCAGCTGGGATGAATTATTATCATCATCGTCATCGTCTCCAGTGCATTTATCTCATGTGTTTAATGATTCTCAATTTCATAATTATTCCAGTGATGCTTTCGAAAGTTTAAATACGTCTGTTAGAAAATCACGGGATATTGTAAATACAATAAGTTTATCCAGTAGTAGTAGTAATAATAATACTGCTGCATGGCGATGCATTAATTTAGCTAAACATTTAACTTGTGCTATATCTTATCCTCGATGTGAACTTACTGACTTGGATAGAAAATCAACATCTGTAATTGAGTATCCTGTATGTTTGTAAGTTATTTATAGATAAATAGTTTGTTGTTTATTTAAATCCTTATAAAAATTTCTTTTTTGTACTATCAAGTAGTTAACTATAGATTGTTTGTTTTTTGATTAACTCGTATGTGTTGTGAATTACACAGAATTGAAATGAAACTAAACCAGTGAACAATATTGTTTCATGAGTAATGAAATAATTGTTGTCACTTGTCTCCCTAAATTGCAGTAGATGGGATTGGTTTCAAGTGGTGTAAACCTGAAACTATAACCAAAATCTAGGCTTTGCTTAGTTGGTTGAAGTTTTTAATTTTCAATCATATACCTATTATTATCATCTGGTCAGTGGAATACAATTACTAATTAGAACACAAAATATTTTTAAGTGTATATAAACCGGACATGATAAACAACTCATATTCCAGTAAGATTTCTGAATTTATTATGTAGAATGGCTCAAAGCGTCAACGGTTGTTACCAGTGGGTTTCCTTCAATCCACTGTTCAATCTAAGGAATTCTAGTTGATCATAACAAATATTTTAATGTAAAGCAATAGATCATTAATTATTAGAAACATCATGATCTTTTATTCATTTTTAAAAATGTGACCTCAAACTACAATTGAAATGAACCACATATCCTTACAATTAGACCAGTATTCCGAAATGAAATATGGTAGGTAGCATTTCAATGACTTTTAGTCGAGAAGGCTTTTCATTTATTTTTGTATCTTGGTATACGTTATTCCGTTGGAGCCATAGGTGAATGGTACAGGTACAAAGATTTAGAAGGTTCAAACTGGGCTTTATATTACTTTTCATAGGATACATTAGAAACGACAAAAGTAAACTGTGAATAATTTTAAACATGTAATCATAGGAGTTTTCAATTCAATGAGAGAGCAGTTGAATAATTGTAACTAATTGAAGCATAAATACAAAACAAAGTGAACGAGAAACAACAACTTTACTGGAAGTCGTAAATTTTGAAAATGTCTACCTGTTCATTGACTAAAATCACTGTTAGTTGCATTTGACGAAACATTCTTAAGCTACACATTTAAAGTTTATTAAAGTAATATTATTAGCTTTCCCAAGTCTTCGGTTAGTGATATTTCAGAAAATATGGACATTTTAATTTTGATCTCAGACCTGGGTTTAGGCTCTATACCTTAGTACTGTAAAAATGAAAATTAAATTAATCGAACTAGAAAGCAGTATTGCAGCATCTACGATAAAAGTGGTATCGAATTGAAGTGCTAAGTGGTCTGAACAACAGTATGCATGAAGCCTTATTCCTACTGACTAAGTGTTCAGTTTTACAATTTATGTGAGAATTTGAAAGTCTGCATACCAATCGCAGATAATTTGTAGAGTTTTCTAAGCACTAATCATTAACGTACTTTAGACGAAGGGAATTTATCTAACCATGGATTTATAACTTTTAAATCACATATCGTTAAGTTTGTTTAATTCTTGCAATAGCTGTCTGTACAAGTAATCACATGTATCAGTCAGTTTGAAACAATTATTTATGAATAGTTATGACCTTTGTTTTTGATATAATCTATTGAAATAAAGTTATTATGACAAAATAAACAGTTTAACTATTTGTGTTTTGATTTCATTCATTTTATCTTAACTCTGTTTACCTTGCACATGTTGGTTATGATTGTTTGTTCTCCCTCCCTTTCTTGTTTTACTGAATAAAATCTTATTTATGGTTTTGTAATAAAGTTGTGATTGAATGGTTTATGTACTTCAAGTTCAACCTATCAACTCTTGTTGGATAAAATCTATTCTATGGACATTTTTTTGTTGACTTATTGTCAAATTTTTATGGCAGGAATTTCATTAAGTGAAATTAGTGTTTAGTACATGTTAGTATAAATATTACAATTGGGTATTTTAAAAGTTGTACAGTAACAAAATTTTGAAATAATTAATTATTTGTTGTTACAAGCTCAATCAAAAACCATCTTTCCATAGATTCTTAATTTAAATAACTGGTTTGAAATGATTGTCTGTCAGTTACAGCGCCGAACTTCATACATACGTACGTACATCAGTTCCAGTTGTCATACCACATTGAACTGTCAATTTAAATCCCATAGTGTTAGAGGTAGTAGAAGTATTAGTAGTAACGGAGAAGATCAGGGTTTGAAGATACGATTCAAGAATTATAATTCACTGAAATGAATTTTAAAAGAGATAAAAGGTGTTGAGGAATTCAGAAAATTAGAATTTGAGAGAAGTCAACGAATGGACTTCTTTTGTACACCTTTCAAGTGTATTTATATATAAATATTTATATATATTTATTTATATACTGATGACTAGTTGCCTCGTACATTTAGACTATGTCAATCTTAACGTTTTGCTACTTAAAGAGTTTACTATCTACATTTAAATCATGAATTACCAAAACACTTGTTTAGTATCTTAAGTACTTGGTTTTAAGCTAGTTAGTCGTGAGTTTTGGACTCCACGCTACATGCTTCAATTTAGGTACTAGAGAAGTAATATTAACCCTCACACTGATAATGCGTGTCAAGTTTTATGCTATGGTATTGCTAACCTTTTATTCTTCACCCTTGTTTATCATACCTTTTGTGTCTAGATTTCTAATGCAAATAAATTGAATTCCTCTCATCTTGTCGCTTACCTTTTTCGTTGTGTTCACATTATTCCTACTTGCGCAGATAGACCTTCGTTTCATATCCTACTTCGATAACGACCGACTAACTGAAACAGTCTGTTTTGTTTATGCTGGAAATAATAGTTGTATTCGTAAGACAGGTATAGAAAGCTTGTCGATTTTTAAAACTGAAACTGATTTTTTTACAAGTATTATTCGGATACCGAAGCCCATCAATGCAAACGAAAATATTGTTCAATTATTTTTCCTCAAATTATTTTCCATTGTCCGTAGAAAAACTTCATTTACCAACAAAGTGGAAATTTTGAATGACTTGTCCACCTACTAACAAGTAGTTTGTTACTTGCTCCGGCCGTCCATTACCGAACTCATTAAATGTCTCGTGAAAAGGTGATCTTGTCTCATTGAGAGCCTTTTTGGTTGCATTATATATCAATAGTTATGGAACATGGGGTTGTTGGCAGTGAAAAGTCTAATGTATTTTATTTTTCTGCTAAAATGTTTACTTTAAAGGAGCATCTATGGATTATGTACAATTTCTGTTTCATGTTGTTATTTATGTTCTTCCTCTTTGTCAAATAGGAAACATTGTCTCGCCGTTACAGGTCTATTTTGCTTTTCTTCGTTAAACATGTTGAATAATTCAGCTTTGGATAGGCTTCTTGACATAATTCCTCAGAATGAATCTTCTATGACTTCTAATTTAATGAAAACAGGTTGGTCAGAACTGATCAACGTACCAGAAGCTAAAAATCAAAGTCTTCCATTGAGTTTCTTCGACTCTGAAGTCGATGGGACATCAAATCCCTTTTACATTTGTTCATCTTACAACAGTTATATTATGTCTGTTGAACCATCTACAAAATCTGTTTGTACTCGTTTACCCATTGAAAATAAAAATCCAACAAATTTCAATGAAGAAAGTAAGAAAACTCCTGTTGAAGAAAATTGTAAGTTTTTATCACTTTTACTAAATTTTTAACAAGCTTCTGCATGTTTAATCAATCATTTTGTAGAGAAACATTTCAGCACAGTGTAATACGTTAAATTTTAATGGGCCATTGAAATAAACGGTTTTCTTTAGTTCATTCATTCTAATTGTATTTGTTTCATTTACAGTAGGCGCTAGTAAAATGAATTATGGTTTTTCTCTTAAATCATTGTACATATATTGTCTGATTTCACATTATGATAATGATGCAGCAAAGTGATTCAGATTGAGTTTTTCTATAACTCATCAATACGGAAAATAGACTGTTACTTTATTTGACTCGTAACGGTGGCTTAACGTTAAAGACATTCAACTTTGAGCTTAGGTTCGAACTTCACTCTACCTACTTTGGATTGTTCAACCAACCAGTTAGTATTATTAGCTCTTACGCTTAGAGTGCAGGCATACGATGAATTAGTTGAAAAATTTAATTCATTTGATAAATACCCATGTTTGACTTTGTTAATTTTTCTTCCAATCTCATCAATTTCTTTCTTGGTTGTGTCAATGTGAGGTGTGACTGTCGTGTGTATTTAGTATTCCTACAGGATATATTAAAGTACAAATAAATTATCTAGTAATTATCCGATATTCTCCGTCTAATCAAATAGTGTTATTTCAACACTGAGACAGTAAAAATACTTTTTATCTTAGGTATCATTATTTCGTAAATTTTATGTTAACTCTATATTTATTTTATTGTTGTGGCAATGCAATTTGTATCCTGTAGGTGTAGGCGTAGATTACTTTTTCTTAGGCAACTTTTTTCATGAATATAAATAGTACAAGCTATAACTAGGCATCAATCTCTTGTTTTTGAGTTTTGTATTCTATGTATGAAAGTGCTTTTGTGTCATGCCTTCCATGAGATTTTCTGTGATCGTTAATGATTATTATCTGTTATTTTCAGTTGTTCTTTTTTTGTTTGACATAGTACCTATCCTCAGATTTGCTATCTCCTGCTAAGAATGCAATATTTTATTGCGTATTATAGATTATTTGTGTGTTCGCTAACAAGTTGGTTTTCCGGTCTGATTTCGCTCTTTTTCTCTTGCCTGTATTGTTGATAATTGATTGGAATCCGAAGAAAATTCATAAATGTTTCTATTTACTACTTTTTTAAGCAGATTATTATTTATATTTATGATCAACATGTGTACTTTACATTATTACAATACTAATTTTTTAGTTGTAATTACTTTTTACAGATGTCCTATTATTGTTAACATTCTTCTTTTTAATAAATTATTTTGTAGTAAAAGTTGTGTACGCATACATAGTGTATTTATTTATGATCTAGTTAAATATTTAATGGAATCTAGCTGATCAGTCAGTCAGTCAGATGCAACGTAGAACTTCGTACGTAAGTACATCAGTTCATGTTGCCATACCACATCAGCACAGAGATGTAATTGTCAATTCAAATCCAATAGTAGAAGAGGTAGTAAAGGTATTAGAAGCAGGTTGGTATAATACCAAAAAGACTGTGGAAACAGCAGTGATATCTGCTAGTAAGGTAAACCATAAGGTTAGGATGAAGCCGTGGATCTCGATAGCATCTATTGAACTGATGGATGCTCGAAAACTCATCCCACCTGGCTCTGAGGGCGATGAGAAGCGGAGTCATCTTAGACGTAGGCTGATAAAAAGCCTATTTAACGACCGCGAACAGTGGTGGGTGGCGAAAGCAAAAGCGATGGAAATGGCAGCGACGATAGGCAACAGCAGACAACTATTTAGACTCATCAAGGAAACTTGTATTAGGAACCCAAATGTGAGTGGATGGTCTTATAATCCATTCTCAATCCAGGAGACTGGCCCGATGGGCAGAACACTTCAGGGATCAGTTCAACTGGCCTCGAGCCACTCTTCGGTTGCCCACGATCTCCAGTCCTCTGAATCCTTATGAAGTTGAGAAAGCGATAGGAAATCAGAAGCGATGGCGAGCTGCAGGTCCTGATAGACTGACTCCTGAAATATGTGAGGATGGTTGACCAGTTTTAGCAGCTAGGTTGACTGAGATGTTAGGTAGAATCTGGGAACTGGACGTAATCCCATCCGACTGGTCTCAATCACTGATTGTCTCAATTTATCAGAAAGTACAAGAGTCCTTTTGTGACAATCACAGGGGACTTAGTCTAACTAATATAGTACCTAAAATGTTGGCCTCAATAATACTTTGACGCTTAACGAAAGCTCGAGAAGAGCAGACTTGAGAAAACCAGTCTGGTTTTCGACCTGGACGTGGTTGTATAGACCAAATCTTCACACTACGACAGGTTCTGGAACACAGACATACATTTAGGCGTCCTACAATAGTTGTTTTCCTGGACCTTAAGGCGGCATTCGACTCAGTGGATCGTGAGGTTCTGTGGCAGTGTCTGTCATTGAAAGGCGTACCAGAGAAATACATTAACCTCATACAAGCTCTCTACTCGAACACCACTGGTCGAGTGAGAGCTTATGTCGAACTGTGACCGGAATTCTTCACTTCAAGTGGTGTCCGTCAGGGATGTCCACTCGCTCCATTCTTGTTTAATTTTATCATAGACATGCTCCTAGAAATAACCTTATCCTCGTCTAAATTTTCAGGAGTAGACCTTTTACCAGGTGGCTCGCTAATTGACTTAGAATATGCCGATGACGTCCTACTTGGTGAAGACGCTGACAAAATGCTGAGTCTTCTGACTACCCTAGGCAACAATGAAAGCATGTTCGGGATGCGGTTTTCCCCGTCGAAATTCAAAATGTTGCTTCAAGATTGGGTTTCATCGGCACCTGAACTAGTGATAGGGAGTGAAGTAGTCGAGCGTGTAGACCGCTTCACTTATCTTGGGAGTCTCATCAGTGCTGATGGCCTGGTGACTGACGAAATCTCAGCCTGGATACAGAAGGCTCGATCAGCTTTTGCCAACCAGTCAGTCAGATGCAACGTAGAACTTTGTACATAAGTACATCAGTTCATGTTGCCATACCACATCAGCACAGAGAAGTAATCGTCAATTCAAATCCAATAGTAGAAGAGGTAGTAAGGGAATTAGAAATAATCGGAGAGGTTAGGATTAGAAGATACTATTCAAGAAGTATGATTCAGTGAGAAAAGTTTAGAGAGTCGAAACTAGAGGGGTTGAAGAATCCAGAAGACTAGCATTTGAGAGAACATAGAGAATAAATGCACCGGCGCCATTGCGAACGATTCTGAGCCATGTCATTCAAGGTCTCTAACCATCGATTATTATCATCTCGCGGACCCCAACCAGGTAGTCGACAATTACCGACATGGCTCAGTCCACTAGTCAATGACTTCATGGATTTCTGCCATGTTTTGGTTTGGCCGCCCCTAGCTTTCTTCCAACCTATTCCCACACTACAAAACAAGGCTCGACGAGGCAGCCGGTGGTTGGGCATACGCAAAACATGTCCCAACCACCTCAACTGGTGAAGTTTCAATACTTCATCGATTGATCTGCCATTCTTACCTAGCACCCGATTCCTAATAACAGCGTTGCTCACTCGGGTGTCCCACGATATACGAGCAATGCTTCGAAGACACCTATGATCGAAAACCAGTAACCTACGAATATCTTCTACTCTCACTGGCCATGTTTCACAGCCAACTGCGTCACTTATGCGTAGGCGAGATATCCGTTTGCTGACTAAAGGACGAGTGTACTGTGGTTCGCTCCGTCTGACCTAATGACTGTGACACATGGCCGTGAGAGTAGGTTGCTGTTATCGATCATAAGGTGTCTTGCTCGTATATCCCCTCTTAAAGGCCCTTAGTGGTGCACCGCTTACCGCCGTGGACGGAAATCCGTGAGGTGTGACAATTTTTAGGATCGACCTTTTCTAACCCTCCTTCTTTGTGAGCAGCCGCATCGCTGAAGATGCTAGTTGTCCGAGGGAAACATCTTACTGCTGTCACACCTCTCTGCAGTCAGCAGTACGACTTCAGCCTACAGATCTTGGGTAGCTGCTTTTAGTCTCATCGTTCTCCAATCGACTGCCTGCATGGTAGAACCTTGAGGAACATATGTTCCAGCCAGTATAGCTCGGTTGTGTCGTGACGATAGTCAAGCCTGACCACCACGTCAAGGTAGC